ACCAATCCCTGGTCTGGTCCTATTTCTCAGGTCCAATCCAGAACCTGGTCATGCTGGGTCTTGCACAGGGATGGCCCCAAAAGTAAGCAGGCCAGGGGCCAGCAAAAGAGTCTTGGGTTTACTGAATTGGGAGTTCAGATTCGCCCCTAGGGGTCTGATACCTGTGGGCTTCTGATTTAAATTGTCCTAGGTGGTTGAAATCGGCCCTCCGGACATCCTGCGCTCTCGGAGTGCCTCCCACCAAGCCTCTTTGCCCTTGCTCCCTCTGGGAGTGGCTCTCATCTCTTGTGCCCCAGTAGGAAGTGCCCGCCCCATCATCCAACCCAAAGGAGCGAGCCCTTTCCCTCCCACTTCCCTCGGCTCCAGCGGTTCCCCGTTCCACTCCTGGCTGTCTGCGGAGGGATAGGTTCCCTGTCACACGCCTGCTACAAAGACAAAAATGTGTCTCCCACCCCCACCCCCGTCGCTCCTTCGCCCAGTTGTGGAAACACGCCCCGGTGGCATAGCGGGTTACGCATTGTCTCGCTGACCACAGGGCGGTGTTTTAACCTCACGCCCCCACCCACCCACCGCTCCTCGGGAGAAAGATGAAGCGGTCGGTCGGCTAAAGATGGGCAGCCTCTGAGCCCCGCAGGGGCCTGCGGTTCCTCTCCGTCCTGCAGGGTCGCGGTGAGTCGGAGCGGACTCATGGTTGGGGGCGGAGCCTGGGGATCATCAGGCTGTAGTCACATTCCCTGCTGGGAGAAGTTTCGGTCCCCTGTTTCAGCTCAGGAGCTGTGTGTGGGGTGGGGGTGGGAGTGGAGGGAGGGTGCAGAAGTTATGAACTGGTAGTCTGGGGACGTGAGTCAGGGCAGAACCGCCCCCCCCCCCGCCCCCCGAACTCCCTTCCCTCCTGGCAGCTCCCCAGAGAAGGGAAGTTCTTTCTTTAATTTGTGGTTTTTTTTAGGCGGTGGGGGTGGACTGCAGGGATGGAGGGGGAGGCGCCTACGCATCTGGAGCGGACTCGAAGTTTCGCAAAAAAAAAAAAAACAACGTCTGGGAGGAGGAGCCCTCGAGGCTACAAAAGTGTCGCCTTCCTGGGGTCCACGCAGAGAAGCCAGTGAGGGCGCCGCCGAGAGCACTCGCCAGACATGGGCTGTCCCCAGCTGCCACCGACACTGCTGTTGCTGGCACTCACCTACGTTTCAGGTAGGGCCCGGCGGCAGCCGGCTCGCCGCACCCTGTCTCTTGGCCGAGGGGGTGGGGTGGGGACGGGGGCTCTGGGTCTGATGGGGAGGGGGCGCTTGCGGTCTGAGAGGTGGAGGGGGGCAGGACCACCACCCCGATTAGAAATAATCCTCGTACTAGCTGCAACCCGCTCCCCCGCCCCCCACCCCTCGGCGCAGTGCTCGGCACCCAGTAGGTGCTCGGGAAACGATTCGGGATTGGTTGAGCGCAGGCTTCTAAGGACGTTCACCCCGTAGCGAAAAGCGCCCTAGTGGCGCCAAGGTTAAGCGCTCACAGACAGGCTCCTCGGAAGGACAAGGACGTGGCCTCGGGGTTCCTTAAAGAGCAACAGTCTCGGAAACCCAATGGGGCGGTTTCTACTGTGTCTTCTAGGGTGACCGGGGGCCAGGCAGTGGGGCTGGCCCTTTAGGGAGCGCGCCAGGTCACGCCAGGTTGCTGGCGGTTTCCAATCGGGCAGGAAGAACCGAGCGTAACTCCGTTCCACCGAGGCTCAGAGAGAGGCAGTCACTGGCCCCGGAAGGGCAGGACTCAGGCCCCTCCAGGGAGCCCCCAGCGCTCCCCACTTCCTCGGATCCCACCCCCTAAAAAGCACCCTAGAGGGCCGCACCCCATTTCACAAGCCGAGCAGAGCCAGGGGACGGGGACTCGGAGCGGGTCCCCTAGCCAACCTGAGCCTCGCACCTGCTTCCCCCGGAAAATGTGCGGGGGGCCAGTAGAGAAAGCAAAGGAAATTGAGAAGGAATTGAGTCAGGGTGAGGCTGGGCGACGGTGGTGGCGGGAAGCGAGGAGATGAATAACCCGGAAAGCTGTCCGAGCCGCAGTGGAGGGGCGGACGGGGGGTGGGGGGTGGCGAGGATGAGTAACGCGGACGGACCGGGACCTCCGGGAAGGGACGTCAGCGGGGGCGTGGCGATCTGGGAGCAACCTCAGGATGCAGGGCGGGGCGGGGCATGGAATCCCAGTGGCGGCTGGAGTTGCGCGCGCGGCTGCCAGGTGCCTGGTCCCTGGTTTGAACAGGTGTGGCCCTCTGCTCCCTAAGCAACCTCGGGGACCCACAGAGGCAGTTCCGGCCTGGGTTTTGTTTTGGGTGGGAGAGGATGGTAGGTGGGGAGATCGCCCTGGTGGTGCCGTGGGTTAAGCGTCGGGTTGCGAACGGGAAGGTGGATGTTTCCAGTGCCCCAGCCCCCTCCGCAGGAGAAAGATGGGGCAGTCTTCCGCCGAGATCCACAGCCTGGGAAACCCCACAGGGTAGTTCCACTCTCTTAGAGTGTCGCTAGGAGTCCAGTCGAGCCTTGGTGGCGCAGCGTGCTAGGCGGTGGGCTGCTAACCACAAGGTCAGCAGTTTGAATCCGCCAGCTGCTCCGCGGGAGAAAAGATAAGGCTTTCTGCCCCCACGATGATTTACAACCACAGGCCCCACAGGGGGACAGTTCTACCCCGTCCTGCAGGGCTGCTATGAGTCCGGATTGACTCGATGCCATCGAGGTTTGTGACGAGGCATTGAATCAGCCCCAAGGCAGCGGGGTTTGGGTTCGGTTTGACAGAGTAAAGGGAACGTAGGCGAGGGGCTAGAATTTGGGGGCTTGCGTGTCTGACCACGACGACAAAGGTTGGTGGTTCTAACCCACCCAGCGGCCCCACGGGAGAGACCTGGCCATCGTCCCCCCTGTAGCCTAGAAAATCTTATGAAACTCCCGCCATGGAGCGACCCCTATAAGACAGGGTAGAACTGCCCCTGTTGATTTCCGAGACTGTAACTCTGTAAGCGAGCTGGTAATTGCGTCGTTTCCCCCGCCCCCCACCCACCCCGGTGGAGCCGCTGATGGTTTCTAACTGCCGACCTTGAGGTTAGCAGCCCCACGCGTGATCTCCTCCCGGGGTTCCGCTAGAGTCTAGATTCAGCGGTTCTCGACCTGTGGGTCGCGACCCCTTTGCGATTCATAACGGTAGCAAAATAACAGTGATGAAGTGGCAGTGAAAATCATTGTATGGCTGGGGGTCACCACCACATGAGGAACTGTATGAAAGGGTCGCGGCATTAGGAAGGTTGAGAACCGCTGATCTAGAAAAATCCAATGGGGCAGTTTAAGTCTGCCCCTTAGGGGCAGTGTGGTTCGGGATCCACTTGAGGGCGCCTAGTAGCAACAGAAAGGGGGCTCTGGTGCAGGGGGTGCGAACCGGATCTCACCGGGAAGGGGGACCAAAGAACGCCCCAGTGTGCAGTGCCGGGAAGACCAGGCAGGACAAGGGCCGGGGCTCAGACACGCCCCCTCCGGGAAAAAATCAAAAGGCAGCTGGTGGAGGGCCGGACTTTTAGGGGTGGGTTCGTGGGCGGAGATAGAACGTTGGGGTAGACGGGAGGGTGGATAGAACCTGGCTTTGGAACCGAACTCCAAGCCGAACCTAAGTGGCTGAGGCCACCAGTCTGGTCCCGGTACTGGTGGCCGGCCCGTGGAAAGGGGGCATCCTGGCACGGGTCGTCAGCAGCTTCATTGGCTTCTTGTTCTCTGCTCCCGTCTGCAGTCTCCTGGGGCCTGCGGTGCATGCAGTGCGAGATGAGTGGGCTCTGCCACCAGGCCGAGTGCGCCCCCGGCGAGGGGCTCTGCAGGACCACCGTCATAAGCACGTGGGAAGGTGAGATTCCACTCCGGCGACAACAGGCACAAGAGTGACCAGCGAAACCCATAAGGGCTCCCATTGCACACCCACGAGATGGGCAAACATTTCATCATCAGCCAACACCCAGGCTGGGGTGAGGATGCTAGCCCAGACCCCAATGGTGGTGTGGGATTAGCAGGTGTTATGGGAAATACCTCCGTTCCTGGCTTCCCACGAGAAAGAATTCAGCTGAAGCCAGGATTGTGATCCAAGTGAGTTTTTAGAAAGGACGGCAGAAATTTCAGGTTTACAGCCCTTGAACAACTACATGTGGTAGCCTGAGGCTAGAGAGACCCAAGGGGTCCAGGTATTTGGAGCCTTGGGCTGGGAGGCATGGTCAGAAGTATTGGTTGATCCCATTGGTTGAATTAAAGGCCCCCCGACCCTGTTTGGGCCCACCCAGGTGTACCACCCACCTGGCTCCAGCTTGAATTGGTGCCTGGTCCTGAGTCTTTATGGCTTCCAACTTCCTGTAGGGGAGGCCTCCAGGCATGGAAAGGGACACCGCTGGGCCCTGTTTCTCTTAACTTAGACATCAAACTCTCTGCCACTGCTATTCCGATCCTGTAAGAGAGGTTGCAACTGTCATTCTTTAAGGGAGTAGAAAGCCCAGTCTTCCTCCCTCGGAGCAGCTGGTCGTTTCGAACTGCTCACCTTGCAACTAGCAGCCCAACACATAACCACTCTGCCACCAGAGCTCCTGGTGCAGCCTACAGCACCAAGCAATTTGACAAGATCCAGGACAGCTGAAAGTCAGAGCAGGGACAGCCAGATGGATGGACACAGTGGGTGCCAAAGTAAAGCTCAAACCTAACAATTGTGAGGGGACGCAGGGTGGGGCAGCATTCCACTCCGTTGCACACGGGGGTTGCCATGAGTAGGAACCATGTCCACAGCACCTAGCGGATGCAACACAGGCAGCAGGGCCTAGGAACAGGACTCCAGGCCACCACCCTTGAGAGCCTTCGCCACCTGTGCCCTGGAACCCAGGGACCAGGGGGGTTCAAAATGTGCTTGGAGAAAATGGAATGGGAAGAAAAAAAAAAGCACAGGATTTTCCCATGCACCCTTTGAAGCCCCCTCTTCTGGGACTGTGCTCCTGAGAGCTTGATCCTTCAGAATGTTAGGGAAGGACAGGATCAGGTGGTCAGCAGCAGGAGAGAAATACCGTGACATAATCACATACTGGAATGCTCAACCTGTTGGCATCATGAGTTATGCATTGGGCTTGCTAACCACAAGGTCGGCGGTTCAAAACCCCAGCCACTCTATAGGAGAAAGACAGGGCTTTCTACACCTGTAAAGACTGACCAGGGGTGGAGGGTGGGAGGGGGGGCGGGAAGAGGAGCTGATACCAAGGGATCAAGTAGAAAGAAAATGTTTTAGAAATGATGATGGTAAAAAAATAAAATAAAATAAAAAAGAAATGATGATGGTAATATATTTACAGGTGTGCTTAATACAATTGAATGATCAATGGCCATGAGATTTGTAAGACCCCCACCACCACCACAGTAAAATGATTAATTTAAAAAAAAAAAAAAGAGGAAGAAGAAGAAGAAAGAAAAGAGATAAGTCTCCAAAATTCAAGACAGGGGCTTTCTACGCCCGTAGAGTCGGGTCTCAGAAACTCACCGGGGCAGTTCTGCGCTGCCCTATGGGGTCTCCGTGATTCGGCATCCACTCCATGGCCCTGAGTTTGGGTTTGGGCTTTTTCTCGGCTCTTGTTTTCTCCCTTAGAAAAGATGTGACTCAAGCCAGGGTGGAGACCCAAGTGTGTCCCACCCTAATCTGGCCTCATTAGCATTACAGGCAAAGCCTAATCCTCACTGAAGTATCCTAATTCTGCCTCATTATCACATCTCAAAAAAAACACCCCAAGCTCCCTGCCAAGGAGCCTATCCTGACTCTGAGCGACCCCCTAGGACACAGTAGACCCCCTAGGACACAGTAGAGTGACCCTCGTGGGTTTCTGAGACTGTCGGTCCTTAACCCATGACTTGCCCAGGGCGCCTTCAGGACCCCACAGAGCTCAGGATTTACAATGCACACCATGGGAGAGCTAGCTTCCTATCAGATGGGGGCCACGGCTTAGTCTCGTGGACACTGAACCCCAGCCCATCGCTGGTTCCGTACACCTTCCTTGCATGATCTCCCCAGTCATTGTGTGAGAGTCGCATAGAAGGGCCCTAGCCAGTCAGTGGTCCTTCACGGCGCCTTAGTAAGGTCGAATGAAGTATTTCCCTTTCAAAGGGGCGCTGGTGGCTTAGTGGGCTGCTAATCACAAGGTCAGCGGTTCCAAACCACCAGCCTCTCTGAGAAAGACGGGGCTTTCTACTGCTGTAGAGTCAGTCTCAGAAGTCCCCAGGGGGCAGTTCTACCTTACCATAAGGTCGTTCTGAGTGGACATCCACTCGATGGGCAGTGAGTTTTATTAGTGGTGAATTCCTGCTGAGATCATTAAGCTAGAGGGGAGTAGATGGATCTAGAAGGTCCTGGTGGTGGCACTTGTCACTGATGGGGTATAAGCTCCCTGGGTGGGGACCAGGAGAGCGGTGGAACTCTGGAAAAGACAGGGTGGTCCCCAACTAAGAGAAGGGGCTCCACCAGGGATAACCCCTCAGTGTGTTGGAGGTGACAAATACATGTTCTTCACAGGGGGTGAAGAGCAGGAAGTGGTGGTGAGAGGATGTGCCCACCCGGAGAAGACCACCAGATCCATGAGCTACCGAACAGGTTCCCAAATCATCACGCTCACAGAGACGGTGTGTGAATCAGACCTGTGCAACCGGCCCAGCCCTAGTGAGTAGGACAATCCTTACCCTCCCTGACCTAACTGAACTGCTTTGTCATCCCGATCCTATCCCAATTCCACCCTACTGCCTGCTTGACCCCAGTACTGACCCCGCAACTCAAATCCACTCCGCCCGAATACCTACTCAGACCCACCTCTAGCTCAGACCCATCCCCAACTCAGTCCATCCTCAACCTCAAGCCCAATCTCATTTCATTCTGGTCTTTATCCCTAACCTTATTCCCATTCCCAACCCCATCTAATCTCCAATCCCATTCCCTACTTCATTTTACCCTATACTCCAACTCCAACCCATCCTATTCCCCAAACATTTGCCTTCCACAATCACATACTCTTGTCCAGCCTCATCCCCAATCGCCAACCCCATGCCCATCCTGCAACGGTTTCGATTTATGGTTGTTGTAAGTATATAAGAAGAAAGGAACCTAGCAGAGTGGGTGACAAACTGGCCTGCTCACTGCAAGATCAGCAGTTTGCAACCACCCGCCGCCATGCAAGAGAAAGATGAGGCTTTGTGTTCCCATAAAGATTGACAGCTTCAGAAACCCCGAGGGGCGGTTCTGCTCTGTTCTATTGGGTCGTTCTGAGTCAGCCTGGACTCGATGGCAGTGAGTTTGGTGTGGGGCATTTTCTATACAACATGAAGAAAGCACAGTGGTTAAACACTCGGCTGCAAACAGGAAGGTCAGTGGTTCAAACCCACCGGCCCCTTCTCAGGAGCATGATGTGTTTGGTCTACTTCTGGAAAGACTGACCGTCTTGGAAACCCTCGAGGGTAGTTGTATACTCTGTCCTCTAGGTCCTCTGAGTCGATTTCACGCGACAGCACTGGGTTTGGTTTGAGGAGTTATAGAAAAGGTGCAACCGCGACTGGTAGACACATCCACGGGAGAGGTGGATGCGGTTACCCACTGATGTCTTGCCAGCTGCCATTCCCCCGGGGACCGCAGATGGTCCAGGCATTCGGTGGTGAGCGGCCAAGAGAAAAGCAGAGGCTCAGAATTCTTAGTTGTGGTCAAAAGAGGAGGGGATGAGACGGGCTGAGGTCAGCTGGGAAAACTGCCGGGATAGATTCTTGGCTTGAGCTGTGAAGGAGATGGAAGACAAAGGGGCCAATGCCTTATGATCCCACGTATATGCAGTAAACAGATCTATAGAAATGACAGCCTCCCCGTGCTTATCAGGACAGTCTCAGACACTCACAGGAGTGGTCCCACCCTGTCCTGTAGGGTGGCTCCGAGCCGGCATCGACTTGATGGTAGCGAGTGGGTTCTTATCAAGACTGGGAGAGCCCCTACTGCCACACCACCCTACATGTGTCCCGATCTCCTCGGATCCTGGAAGCTAAGCGGGGTTGGGCCTGGCTAGTACTTGGATGGGAAGGTTGGCAGGGAGGAGGGAGGATGGGAGAGCTGTTGTTTCGGGGGCACCGGGTTGACGTGAATGATGGCGGAATAAGTTGCACGATAATGGTTGCACGGCGCACAGAGGGTCACCAATGTCACTGAATTATGCAGGTGGAAATGGGTGACTTGTCACATGTCTTGTGTGTCTTTTTACCACCGTTTAAAAAAAACCAGAAAGATGGGATGAAACTGGCGCGAACGCTCTTGTAGAGTTTCATGGCTCTAGTCCAGAATGGAAGGTGGCCTGGTGTTGTCGTGGGTACTCGATCCTCAGGGTGAACCGTTTGCAACCACCAGCAGCACCTCGGGAGAAAGACCGGGCTTTCTACTCCAAGCGCCATCAGTTACAGTCTCAGAACCCATTTGGCCTCAACCAGACCCACGGGGAGTCGCCACGAGTCAGCATTAATGGGACAGCAGTGAGTTTGGCTTGGTTTTGCGGCGTCTAGAAGCAGGTGGAGAAGCATCCAGACTTGGGTTGTTGGGCTCCTTGTTCTCAGCCAGTATTGCTACTTGCCGTCTCATCATTCTGACCGCTGGCCACCCTGTGTGCTTTGCTGGGGTTTCAAAGCAGTGACCGTTCAGGAGCCGATCGCCCAGATCTTTCTTCCAAAGCACATCTGGTCGAGGGGTGCTCAAACCTCCAGCCATCCAGCGAGTCGGTGGTGACCTGCTTAACTATCGGTGCCACTCGGGCCCTCCCGAAAAAAATTTCGAGAGAGTCAAGCCCCCTTCAATTCCCCACCAAAGAGGAAGCATGGTCCGGGATTGGACCCAGCTTGCATGACCAAGTAAAGCTATGTCCTCCTGGCCCTGCTGAGGAAGGAAATTGGTTGAGGTGGATCCGGCCACAGTGATGTCAGCCAGCAGGGCACCAGCGTCTGAACGGGTTGTTCTCGCTTCTCAGCTTCCTGATTCTGCCTGATCCCCGACATCCTGACCCCAGGTTTCCATCCCCTGATCAAGACCAGGTCAGCTTTTAATTTTTAAGACAGAGGGTGATGGCTTCCTCCCTCGGTTAAATCTGCTTAAGGAAAAGAGCTAAGACTTGGGGTTCAGTGAAGCTTCTCATCCAAGGTGATGTTTACAATATTTACCGACACTGGCTCCATCAGGCGCTGACCAATCAGGAAGGACTCCTAGAGGCCCTTGGCTGGGCCTGACGTGACCCCTTTGGCTGATGGGGCTTGGGGGCTCTGCAGGTGAGTTGTCAGGGCCCTGGGTCCACCAGGGAGTCAGGCAGGGGCTGTCAATTCAAGAACTGATAAGCCTACATCAGCCCTCTTTCTTATCTACGTATTTATTTAGGGAATTTATTGGATTCCTTATGGTTGGGAAGCTCCCTGCACGGAGTCAGTGCTAACTCATAGCAACCCGTCCCACCCCACCCCTTGGGTTTCTGAAACTGTAATTGTTTACGGGAGTAGAAAGCCCCTTCTTTCTCCTTAGGAACTGCTGACCCTGGGTAACCACCACGACATCACCCGATAAAGGGATTTTTATAGAGAGAGGAGTAACAGATACAGAGTCCCAGAGGTGAATGTCAGCGTGTCTGGCTGGAGGCTGGGAGAAATGTAGAATGACATAGCTGGTGAAATGGGAAGGACCCTAACAGGGTCTTCTAGGCCATGGCGAAGACTATAGACTTCATCTTGGGGCCAATGGGCGAGGAGTCCTGGAAAAATTCTCAGCAGGGAAGTGTCACCATCAGATTTTTTTGAATAAAAATTATTATTCTGATCTTACGGTGAAAGACGGAGAAAGCCAGGGTGGGGAAGGGAGCTCAGCCTGGAGGTGGATGCCTTTGTCCAAACAAAATAGCGTGTCGGTGGACTGACAACACGTCAGCTTTGCAGAGGGGAGGGGGCAGTTGGATCGAAGAGCTATTTGGCAGGTAGATGAGCCACGTGGGGGTGGGTGTCTCCGTCTAGTTCACGATGGAACTGCCTATGTCAGATTAACCCTCCTGCAAATAACAACTGTAAAAACTATAATTACCAAATTAGAAATGGTCAACAGCTGTTTGAAGTTACTGGAGGGCACCTGATGCAGGCAGAGACTTGAGGCGCCATGGGTGTTTAAATGAAGGGCAATCCCCCAGAAGTGGAGTTCCACAGTCAATCTGCCCCCCCCACCCCCGCCTCCCCAAGTATGCCTTCCAACCCGCCGCAGTGGGAGGGAGAGAGGGTGGAGACATAGAAAGTCCGTCACTGGATGAGGCAGGAGTTGGCGGCTGGGCTTGCCAGGGTACCTGGTGGCCTTGTGGGTCCCCTTGCCAGGTCAGCCGTTCAAAACGACCAGTGTTTCCAAGCGAAAAAGTCGAGGCTTTCTACTCTCACAAAGATTCAGTCTCAGAAACCCACAGGGATAGTTCTACCTTGTTCTGTGGGGTCAGGATGAGACAGGATTGACCGGAAGGCAGTGCATTCTGTTTGTTTGTTTTGTTTTGTTTAAGAGTGTCTGGGCACTGAGAGTAAAATGCTAGAATGGGTAGGACCCCCAGGAGAAGAAGACCTCCGAATCTTTGTACCAATGCCCCTCAAGTCATTGCCATGTGGCACGTGGGCAAGAGGAGACACCGAAAAACAAACGCAGCAGAAGGCAGTCGCGGGGAAGCTACAGAACAGAGCAGGGATTGTAGCAGACACCTGGTGCTGGGAAAACAGGTCACCCAACCGGAGACACCTTGGTAACCACCTCAGGCTTCCCTCTGAGATCACAGCCTGGGATGAAGGCCAAGACTGAAATAGACCAACCCCCAACCAAAGCTGTGCCATCGTGGGCCATCAAGCAGCCCTGGTGGAGAAGTGGGCTACGCACTGGGCTGCTAACCACAAGGTCAGCAGCTCGAATCCACCAGGTTCTGCGCAGGAGAAAGATGAGTCTGTCTGCTCTCCTGAAGATTTAAAGTCTCAGAAACCCAAAGGGACAGTTCTCTGCCCCATCGGCTCTCCGGGAGCCAGAATCGACTCGATGGCAGTGACTGGTTTTCTTTGTTGTTGTTGTTGTTTCATTGTGTTCCGTTGAGCCGATTCCATTCATCGTGAGCCCGTGTGACAGTGGAGAACATCCCCATGGGGTCTTCTTGGTTATCGTATTCTGGGTGGGTTCCAACCACTAACCTTTTCGCTTAGCAGCCGAGTGCTTAATGGTTGTACCACCAGGGATCCTTTAAAAAGCCTACCTAGTCCCCCCTTTAGGGGCACTGGGGAAGTAGCTGGTGATTCATTCGGCTCCCAACCACAAGGTCAGCCGTTTGAAACCAGCAGCTGCTCTGAGGGAGAAAGATGAGGCTATCTACTCAGATAAAGAATTACAGCCTTGGAAACCTACAAGGGCAATTCCACCCTATCCTACAGGGTCACCATAAGTCTGAATCTACTATCCCGTTTCTCTGAAAATAAGACAGTGTCTTATATTATTTTTTGCTCCCAAAGATGCACTAGGTCTTATTGTCAGGGGATGTCTTATTTTTCCATGAAGAAGAATACGGTACACATTTATTGTTTATTTTTTATTGTTTTATTAAAAGAGACCTCGCACTTCCTGTCTGCTCCAGCTGTGCTGCGGCCAACAGTGAGCTGTGTGGTGGTGCCCGCCGCTACAGTCCAGAGTCAAGAGTTACGGTAGCTTGGGGGCCTTATTTTCGGGGAGGTCTTATTTTCGGGGGGATGCCTTATATTTCAGCGAGAGGCAAAACTGTAAGTGGGTCTTACTTGCGGGAAAAGAGTGTAGATAGCAGTGAGATGAAGCAGGATCAACTCGAAGGCAGTGAGGTGTTTGTTTGTTTGTTTGTTTGTTTGTTTTGAGAGTCAGCTTCTGACAGGAAGAAACCCTAACCCTGTCTGGAGAAGATAGCATCTTATAGAGAGAGCCTTTCCTTTTTTTTTTTTTCGTCCATAATATTTGGCATCTAATAAAAACGCACAGGGTACGCTGAAGGAAATTTAAAAGGACTAATTGACGCGAAACCAAGCGGAAAAAACGAACAACGGGAAGAGGCCTGTCGGGTCTTGGAGCCCTCAAACTGGGAGCTTTGTGATGGCTATGATCAATCAGTACGTTTCAGACTAGAGAGGGACCGACAAATATGGAGTCCAGCTTTTAAAATAGTCAAACAGGAAATATAAAAACAATGTTGACATTAAGAACTCAATAACAATAACCACCCAAAAAACCCAAGTCCACCGACGACAAGTAGATGCTGATTATAGATTATAACAATCCTAGAGGATAGACTAGAACAAATCCTTACGGTTTCCCCAGGTGGTGATGATCAGGTGCCTTTGACTCGGTTCCAGCTCAAGGGAGTGAAACAGAATTCAACAGGCATGCGTGAGAGCAGGTTAGACACAGCAGAACAAGAAGATTCAAGCGCTAGAAGACAGGCAGGTCCATCGAAGTCGTCAGGGAACAGCAAGGAGACCTGACCTGGGATTGTGGGATGTGGAGTTCAGAAGGAGAGGGTCTCAGGAGAAGATGAAGATTTTCGTGGGGCATGTAGGTATCCAGATATATATATATATATGTATATGTGTGTGTATATATATATATATAAAGGGAGAGAGAGAGATAGCCTGGGGACAGCCAGTAGACAGATGGATGGACAGGTCTGAAGCTTAGGGGATTTGGACGGGATCTGTGGCCACCGTATTGGGGTTGTGTCAAAAAATAACCCCCTCAGGGGAGCTGAATATATACCATGAGAAATCAAGGTCAGGCCGAACCCGGAGGCTCACTTGCCTCTAGAAGAGGGACCCGTAAGTCCTGTGAGTTGGCCATTTGGGGCCGCGTTGGCAATTCCCGTTTTCATTTTCAAGGAAGTTCACGTAGGAAGATCGGGGGATTGGCCTTCTCTCTTCCTTTGAAGGGAGCATTAAGCATTGGATGAACATGATTCACCTAATTGTGCCTCCTGGCATGCTAACTGAGAACCTTGGCGGAGGCAGCCCTCTGGCTTCTCGCTAACACTTGGCCCACATTCAACTGGGGTATCTGAAGTCAGGAAGGAGGTGCCCTGTGCCAGGCACGGGGAGCGGTGTGTGCAGAGTCTAGCTCAGAGGGAAAGTCTTTACAGGGAAAAGGAACTGATCCGGTGAGAGACCACGTGACCAAGGATCGACAAAGCGAGCCTTTGACCGCTCAGACAATGAAATCATGTGTCTTTCGTGACCCGTGGCTGCATTACAGCATGTCCCCAGCAGGTCCAACGAAAACACACATGTGTCCTTTCCCAGTCGTTTCTCAAGGTCAAGAAGCTGGGAGAGGCTTAGCTGGGTGGTGTTGGCTACGTGGATCTTTCATGAGGTCGCAGGCAAGATGGCAGCCAGGGGTGCGGACATCTGAAGGTCCCCAAGGCAGCTCCCCTCTCATGGCTCATTCACTCCCGTGGCTTGGACCAAAGCATCAGGTCCCTGGTACCTGGATTTGCCATGGGGCTGCTTTGGCGTCCTCCAACGGGCCTCCAATGGGCCAGCCAGCTTTTCCCCGGGTCAGGGCTCCACACGGAAGAAGCACACCACCCTGTGTGATCCAAGGAACCAAGGATCCAATCTCAGGACTCCTCACGTAGAGTCTCACTTCCTGCCTCTCTTCAACCAGAGCGGGGCGCTTTCTTCCCCCGAAGCCGTTACCTCGAGTGTGTGTCCTGTGCCTCCTCGGACCTGAGCTGCGAGAGGGGCCGGGATCAGAGCCTGCAGTGTCGCAACCCGAGAGAGGAGTGCGTGGAGGTGGTGACCCACCAGGACTTCGAAGGTGAGCCCCAGCCCACCAGTACCTCCTCTCCCTGACCTCGACCCTCCCCAAGGCTGCACTTGGCAGCCTTCAAATAGCAGCGATCAGCAAGGCTACTTGTTTCATGCACAGGAAGCCCAGGACTGCTAGGCTAGTTCTACGGTAGCCAGAACAGAAATATCTTCCTTTTTCTTTTTTAATCATTTTATTAGGGGCCCATACAACTCTTATCACAATCCATACAGACATCAATTGTGTAAAGCACATGTGTACATGCATTGCCCTCATCATTCTCAAAACATTTGCTCTCCACTTAAGCCCCTGGCATCAGCTCATTTTTCCCCTCCCTCCCTGCTGCCCCCTCCCTCATGAACCCTTGATAATTTGTTAATTAGTATTTTGTCATATCTTGTCCTGTCCGACATCTCCCTTCACCCACTTTTCTGTTGTCCATCCCCCAGGGAGGAGGTCACATGCAGATCCTTGTAATCGGTTCCCCCTTTCCAACCCCCCCCCCCACCCTCCACTGTCCCAACATTGCCAATCACATCACTGGTCCTAAAGGGATCATTGCCCTGGATTCCCTGTGTTTCCAGTTCCTATCTGTACCAGTGTACATCCTCTGGTCTAGCCAGATTTGTAAGGTAGAATTGGGATCATGATGGGGGAAGGGGAGGAAGAAGCATTTAGGAACTAGAGGAAAGTTGGATGTTTCATCATTGCTACATCGCACCCTGACTGGCTCGTCACCTCCCCGAGACCCTTCTGTAAGGGGATGTCCAGTGGCCCACAAATGGGCTTTGGGTCTCCACTCTATCTTCCATTTTTTAAAACAAAGTGTGATGTAGAAACCAGAGGGTGCCCGGCTGTCAGAAAGAATAGTGTGTGGGCTCTTTAAAAACCTGTCTTCAACAACAGGCACCAAAGTGAGGTGTCAGCTAAATCTGCACCGAAGAAGCACACCACCCTGTGTGATCCAAGGATCATTAATAATAAAATCCAAATCTGATGGAGGGAATTATATCAGAGCACCTGGTTTGAAGAAGGCTGTGGATGACAGTGGAAGCCCCAAGTCCATGTACAGGGTGTCCAGGGGGACTAAACCTCTGGTGAAGCCCCTCTGACTATAATCCAACGATGTGAATAGCCTCCTATCACACAGAGAGTGTTGTAAGGTTGATACGACAGTTGTAATTAGGTTAAAATGCAATACTTTATCATTTGATCTCCCTTTTCACCTACTTTAAAGTTATTTCAATTAAAAAAATCATTTTATTGGGGGCTCTTAGAGATGTTAAAACAATCCATAAATCAATTATATCAAGCAAATGTGTGCATCTGTTGCCAATCTCATTTTCAAAACATTATCTTTCTACTTGATACAATAGGGATATTTCTTTCTTTCTTTTTTTTAAAGAAAGGAGTATCTTCCATTTTTAAGATTGCTTCAGGGTCCAGTATGGCTGCTGGACTCCGGATCTCATGTCCACTCTCCAGGAAGAAAAAAAGGGACATAGAAGGGTTTTTTAAAACTCACAGCTTTGAGAGAGGGGGGAGCGGGGAGGGAGAGGGAGGAGAAAAAGGAAAATGAGGAGCTAATTCCAGGAACCCAAGTGGAAAGCGAATTTTGAGAATGATGAGGGCCACAAATGTATAAGTGTGCTTTACACAATCGATGTATGTATGGATTGTGATGAATTGTATGAGCCCCAATAAAATGATTTTAAAAAAAAACAAACAAACTCACAGCTTTGTAACAGGAGACCTCCTTTCTGGAAAGCCCACAAAGCACCCTTACTAAATCACAGTGGGTAGAACTTAGTCCTCAGACCAGAGAGGCTGGGAAGTGCCATCTCTTGGTTAGATGCGTGGCTTCCCCCAAAGGGAAAGGTAGGCAGAGAATGAATGAAAGGCTAGTGGCGAGAACAGATCTGACCTCAGACCTCCACCCCTACCCTGACCTCTCTCCTCTGTCCCCTACAGAGAGTCCGGGGGATGAGCGCCACATCCGGGGCTGTGGCTTCCTCCCTGGATGCCCAGGCCCCACTGGTTTCCACAACAACCACACGTTCCACTTCCTGCGATGCTGTAACACCACCAAATGCAACCGGGGTCCAGGTAAGGGACAGGGCGCCCAGGTGAGGCCGGGGAGGGAGCAGGAAGGCAGCCTGCCCCACCAGCACCAGCACTGCCAGGCAAAACCTGTCTCCTCTGGAGGTCTGGGGACCAGGCGTCCCCATAGAGAAAGAGGAAGTGGTTTGCAGTCTTGAAAGAGGGTCTCTGGGAGTCAGACTGGGCTTGATGGGGGGGAGTGGGGTGGGGACCAATCGTTGGGCGACCCGGTGGTTCAAATGATGACGTACTCGGCTGCTAAGGGAAAGTCGGGGATTTCAGCCTGCCCATGGGCACCCCGGAAGGCCACCTTTGGCCTGATACAGTGTCTGGAAACAAGATGGGCCCCCAGTGGCCCTCCGGGAGCCACCCGCCAAAATCGGGCCAGGGTTCCCATTTCTGCAGAGGGTGCTCCCACCCACCCGCAGGGTCTGATGTGGAAATACGGCCTCAACACGGTGCCACCAGCCGGTGTTGCCAAGGCTCTAAGCTTCCTCAAGCTAGACTGAGTGATCTCTGTGCGGATTACCCAACGGGAGGGACCGTGCCAACTACTGGGACATAAAAAAAAAAAGTCAAGTATGGAAAAAAACAAATCAGCCATTGAAACCTCTGTGGAGCAGGAGTTCCACTCTGACATGTGGAGGAGGGAGGGATGCAACACGTAGGCGTTGCCTCAAGGGCAACTTAGCTTGTTTCCATTTGTTCAAGCCTTTTCTAAGACCTGTGCTTCCTGCCTGCTCCAGCTCTGGAACCTGCCGCTGTTCCCTACCTCCGCGGCCCCCGCCTGGGTCCAGGCCGCCGTCCGCTCTCCCCTCCAAGGTCGCAGTTCTATCCTTCCTGGTTTCTTGGGCGTCCACGTCTGTCGTTCTAGAAGGGACATTCCACCCAGCAGCACAAGCGATCTTTGCAAATAGCAGATCCATCCCATCGGGTCCGTCACTGGCCTGCCTCGCGCTCCTGCATGGCATCTCCCTCTTGCTCTTAGAATGGGATCCAAACTCGTCCCAGTGGGCTGTGGAGCGCCTCTCTGCCTCCTGGGCTTCCTTACGTCCCTCCAGCTGCCAGACTCCATCCTGCCTCCAGAGTTTACCTGGCTGACCAGGTTGCATCCGCCAGGTCTTCGTTTTCATGTACTGTTCTCCCAGGGTGACCTTCCCTGTCCCTCCCCTCCAAGAGCCGTCGGAGCTGCCCGATGATCCTGTTTCTCTAGACCAGCCTTTCCCAAAGTGAGCCGTCCTGCCCCCCTGCTGGGCGTGGGCTGGCGCTAGAGCGATGGAAAGGGGCTGCAAACGCGGTTACACCCACTTTATGCTGGATTTCGGGGATATAGTACAAAAGGTTTTCATTGCCGTGGCGACGCTGGGTCTTTTTTCAAAAAGGGGGCCGTAGGCCAAAGAAGTGTGGGAACCTCCGCTCTCAACCAACACTGCCCAACGGGCCTTTCCGCTGGGATGCACGTGTTCCGTATCCGCACTGTTCCATGGACACGTGTGGCTATTGAGCACTGACATGAGAATGGAACCTGGCCTTGTCTTCCACGTGAATATGTTTAAACGTCTCCCACCTATCCGTTGGTCTGTCCGTCCATTTAATCATCTTGGCGGCTTGTGTGTTGCCATGCTGTGGAAGCGATGCCCCTGGAATCTCGAGTTAACAGCAGGGCCGCTGGAGGTGGGCCGGTGTTTGTGGAGCTTCCAGGCGAAGACTAGGAAGAAAGGCCTGGCTATTCCCGTTCCAGAACTGCAGGCAGTGAAAAGCTACAGGATGGGTCGCAGCGGAACGGTGTTGTGGAGAGTTCCAGAAGATGAACTCCCTGGGTCAGAAGGCACAGTACCGGTGCTGCAACCAGGGTTCCAACATGCAAGCGATCGTGAGCCTGGCAGCAGCTACCCTGGTGTTGGATGTAGGGCGGTGTGGGCTGAGGCTGGCTGGACACGAGTACATGTGACTGGGGCAAGGTAGCCCCTGGGGCGAGTAAGAGCCGTGAGGACAGGGCCTGTTGTACCCCACAAGACCACAGACCCAGCACCTGGCATCTCACCTGCTCAGGTGGAGGGCCACGTGGAATCTGGAGGTATCAGATGTCTCTCCTAAGTCCTAGGGCAGCAGTTCTCAACCTGTGGGTCACGACCCCGTTGGTGTCGAACGACCCTTTCACAAGGGTCACCCGATTCATCACAGTAGCAAAATGACAGGGATAAAGTAGCAACGGAAATAATTTGTATGGTTGGGGCGGGGGGGGGGGTCCCCACCACATGAGGAACTGTATGAAAGGGTCAAGCCATGAGGTCCTAGGGGGTAGAAAAACAACCCAAACCAAACCTATAGCCGTGGAGTCAATTTCTAAGCATCGCCACCCTACGGCAGAGTAGAACTGGCCCCGCCAGGTTAACGAGACAGATCTTTACAGACGTGTGCTGCTGCCCCCAGCTTTCTCCCACCCACGGGGCGGCTTATGGGTTTGAACTGCTGGACCTCTCCATGAGCAACCGGGGCTTTTGCCACCCACCAGGGACTCCCCACACAGTCTAGAAAACCCGCTCCGGAATCGATCGCCGTTCCGAGGACTGGCCACCAGGTGGCTCTGGGACCTCTCAGGCTCAGAATGGCGAGGCTCTGGGGGTGGGCTGGGGGGGTGGCCCATGCTAGTGTCTGTGTGTCTTCCACTTGGGACCGTGACTTGCGTGAAGAAGGTTCATGGGACAGACCGCCCGTGTGACCTCCGGCCGTCCATACACAATTTGCTTCATCTCCTTCACCGCAGACCCTCTCACTGAAGCACCACCCACCCCACCTCCTCCCTGTGCCTCCTACCACCCTCGTCCTCCTTCCTGAACCCTCTGAGCCTTGTCTTTGGCGAATGCTGTCCCCTTCATCTCAAAGGGCTGATGGCCCTGAGGCGTGCATCCTCCCACCCCCCACCCCCAGTGTTACTGTTGGTTGCCCTTAGAGACCTGTCCATTCCTGAAGGGTGACTGAGGCCCACAGTCTTGAAGGTTCCACCGGTGTCTATGCAGCCAGGGAACGCGGGGCTCTTTTAGGATTCCGAGTTCTCCAGACTCATTGTGTGGTCTTTGTGTCTCTTGCCTTCTGTTCAGTCCTGGAGCTTCAGAACTTGCCCCCAAATGACGTCCAGTGTTACAGCTGCGAGGGAAACAGCACCCACGGGTGTTCTTCGGAAGAAGCCTCCCTCGTCACCTGCCGGGGCCCCATGACTCAATGTCTGGAAGCCACGGGCTCTCATGGTAATGCCCTTTGGAAGGTGGGAAGGGGTGCTGATGGGAAAGGGGATGATATTCTTCTAGAGGTGGACTTCCGATCAGACTGGGCTTAATTGGGGTGGATCTTCCTGTGGGAAAGTTACCGGGGTGGAAATGGGCGAAAGACATTAGGGCTTGTCCATTAGGAAATGGACATTTGGCGCTAGAAATGTGGACTTTGGGGGAATATTTCCTGCAGGTGGGTAGGACTTCCTATGGACGCCGTGGGCTTTCATTCTTGCAAAGTCCTGTGAAGCCCAGATGGTCTAATGGGTTATACATTAGGCTGCTAACCACAAGGTCAGCAGTTTGAAACCATCGGCTGCCCGCATCGGCTGCCCGGAGGGAGAAAGATGAGACTTTCTACTCCTGTACAGAGTTACAGCCTCAGAAACCTACAGGGCAGTGTCTTAGGCTTGTTAAGGATCTCCGTTTTGAGGACCACTGCTTTCTGCAGGGCCGTGGGGATGGCCTCCACCGCCAGCTCAGAATTCCATGCCCAGGTTCAAAGACCAGGCTTCTCTGAGAGGAGGGCTCCCGGAGGCTCCCTGAGGGGCCAGGGGACATCCTGAGTCTCTCTCATCGTCTTCTCTTCCCTCAGCGCTGGGGACCCCCGACTACACCGTGAGAGGCTGTGCTACCCCCTCGTGGTGCCAAGGTCTCCACACAGCCGAGGCCTTCAGACTGACCTATCTCAATGTCTCCTGCTGTTCGGAAAACGGCTGTAACCACCCAGCCCGGGATACTCAGCCCCGCATGGGGAGCGCCCCCCGGCCTGGCTCTGCTCCCCTCAGCCTCACCGTCACCCTGCTTCTGACCGCAAGACTGTGGGGTGGCATTGTCCTCTGGACCTGAGCCCAGAAGTGCACGCCTCACCTTCCCTGGCTGGATCCAGGGAAACTCCCCTCCGCTCCCAGTCCAGCAGACTTGCTGTGTCACCTCGGGCCAGTGTGCTGCCCTCTCTGGGCCTGTTTCCCCAGGGGTCAGAAACGCCTACCTCACATTGAGTTGTCAGGAGAACCAGAGGAGACGAGCTGGAAAGAGGCAAGCCCTCGTTATGATTATTTGTATTGCTGCGGTGATTTTATTGTTGTTATTACTAATTAATATTTTATTATTTAATATTTTATACTTAATAAAATGTTTGTACCAGTGAGTGTGGCCAGATCTGCCTTGTTCCACAGCAGCTAACTTGGGGAGGGTGGGGTGGGGAGGGGGCACCGTTTCACAGGCTCCTATCATTAGAAGTCATGTGGTAGGACCCAGGAGTCCCCTGAGAGGCACAAACAGCTGAGTGCTTATTTATGGACCAAAAAGTTGGATATGGATTGTTATAAGAGCTGTAAGAGCCCCCAATAAAATGATCTTTTAATTAAAAAAACACAAAACAAGTTGGCAGTTCCAGTCTGCCCACAGGCACCTCGGAAGAAAGGCCTGGTGATCTCCTTTGGAGAAACCAGGCACAAAACCCTCTACTCTGCTACCCAAGGGGTCATCATAGCTCAGATTCAACTTGGTTGGTTGGTTGGTATTTTAGGGCTTGGGCATTTGGGACCCCCAAAGGCAGTTCCATCAGAGTTTCCCCCCTAAAACATCACATCTATTCTGGATCCCTAAGATACCCTCCGACTCACCCACCCAAGCTAATCTTCCAGTCTTCTCTCCCAAGCGCCAACGGTCACGACGACATTGTAGTTCTAAGAAGCCATGCCTGCAGGTCCCATGGGGCACTGGGTGAGAAGGAGGGCCTGCAGTGATGGGAGATTCAGCCAATGGCCAGAACTCCCTTGAGGCACGGCAGTGGGAAATAAGGACAGGACTACATTTCCCACAATGCTTTGGCCCAGAGGTGGGTAAAGGCTGGTGTCAGGATGTCTTAGGGATGTGGTAAAAGAAGTATGATTTCAGTGACACACTTGGGTGGGGATCAAAAGGGATAGGATTCATGCATCCCGGGGCCACCCAGAGAGACACAATTACTTATCCTATGAGGTCCTGTAGCTAACGAGGCCAAGGTTGGGTATCTCCCATGGCATCAGGGGACAGACGAGGGAGAGCATTTCCTTTTAGGACTTCCTCAAATCACAGAGCATCACCTGTCGCTGTTGTGGCCTGTGCACACCTGTAGAGGAGCCCAGGTGGCATGGTGGTTACGCATTGGGCTGTTAACTGCAAGGCCAAGCGGTTGGTTCAAAGCCATCTGATGCTCCTTGTGGGGAAACAAACGGGGCCTTTTTTCTTGTTAACAGTTACATCGGCACGTTGTCCACACATCATGCGAGCCACAGGTCAACCCGAGGAAGAAGAATAAAGACAGGGCTTTCTACTCCCCACAGCGTTGCTCTGCGGGGGCACCGGCTCAACGGCATGGGTTTGGGTTTGGGTCTTGAACACTGTGGCTCGGTGACCGCTCTGTGTCTGTGGGGGCCATGGCAGTTGATGGTTTGAATCTCAGGCGAAAGGCCTGGGAATCTACTTCCCAAAAATCATCCGTGAAAGGAAGCCCTATGGAGCACAGCTCACTGACAGGTGAGGTCACCATGAGCCACAGCCAACTCCACGGCGACCGGTTTGGTCTGAGTTTTGGTCGCGCCTTGGCACAGAGGAAGGTGGTGAGAAGTTATGCTGTGTCTGCTTGTGAATCTAGCGGTGTGTGTCAAATATAGAAACCAACACCTTGGCCAACCCGACAACTTCCACAGTCTCAACTCAAGGGCATCCGCCGCATTGGTTCTGCTGGGCCATCATTCTTGTTCCAAACTCCAAACTCAATATGCCCCCACCAGCACTCAGTGCCCCTCAAGACAATGCCCCCTTCGCTGCCCCCTCCCTCCTCTGGCATCCATCAAAAACCTTGGGTCTCTCTCCCGCCATGCAGTCAACTCCGACTCCTAGTGGCCCCTAGGGGACAGGGTAGAATGGCCCCTGTGGGTTGCCAAGACTGGAACTCATTACGGGAGTGGAAAACGCTGTCTCTCTCCTGAAGGAGCGGTTGATGGGTTCGAAGGCTGACGTCGATGTGTAACCACTCCGTGTAACCACTCCGTGACTGGGGCCCCTGGCCTCCGTAACCAATGTGTAACCACTCCGTGACTGGGGCCCCTGGCTGTCCCTCTGTTTGCTCATCCCTGTCAGTGAGTTCCCACTGTGTTTGTCCTTTCCTGCGTCAGGCTCATTTTGCTAAGAACATCCCAGGCCTCGTCTTTCTCCCGAGCCCTGCGTCTGGGCTTCAGTTCTCTGGAGGGCTGTATGGTATTCCACGGGGAGCACAGAACACACCACAGTTTGTTCATCGGTCACCCGGGGATGGCCACATTGGTTGTTCCCACCTTTTAGCTACTGTGCAAACTGCTGCAAGAGACGTTGGTGTCCAGGTTCTTGTGTGAGTTCCCACCTTCCCTTCTACTGAGAGTCTGTCCTGTGCCCTGGTTCGGGGCACCAGCAAGTTTTCCCACCGTGGCTGCCCCACGTGACATGCCTACCAGCAACGGATGGGGGTTCTCCTCCTGCAGCGATCTCGTTGTCTGTGTTTTTGGTCACTGCCATCCTGCTGGGGGTGAACTGATAACTCACCAATGTGCCTTTGATTGGCATCTTCCTGATGGCTGATGAGGGGCCCTGCTGGCAGTGGTGACGCATTTGGGCTGCTAACTGCAAGGCCAGCAGTTTGAAACCAGCAGCCGCTCCTCGGGAGGAAGACAAGGTTTTCTACTTCAGTGAGGAGCTCCTGTTAGGTAGCAGAACAGGGACCAGGGTGTCCACCAGGCAGGCGCCAATTCAGGCCCCGAGCCAAGGGGGTCCGGTACACCTGGGGGGTGGGGCAGTACACCTAGGAGGCCGGTACACCTGGATTGGCCCAATCCAGGCCAGGTGGGCTTAATTCAGCCAATGGGATCAACGAGTACTATGGATCATGCCTCCCAGCAGAAGGTCCTAAAAACTGGGAAGTGGAGACTACCGCCCTCTTTTTCCCTCTGTTCTGCTTTCCACTCGGCCATGTTGTGTTCTCTCTCAGCTGCAGGTCGCCATGTGGGGAGCGTGGGAGTGTGCAGTCCCATGTTCAGTTAACTATAAAACCTGAAACTTCTATCTTTTATAAAAACTCACTTGGATCACAAACCATGCTTCGGCGTGAATTTCTTTCTGGTGCAAAGCCAAGAATCCAGGTACTTCCCACCCGGGGAAATCTAACATTCCCATCTGGGAAACGTACAGGGGTACTTCTACCCTGTCCCATGGGGGTCACAGTCAGTTGGAATTGACTCGATGGCAGTGAGTTTGAAGGGCTTTTTTATCATACCTTGTCGTGCTGGTGAAGAATATTGAAAGCATCATGGGATGCCCAAAGAATCAACAAGCCTGTCTGGGAAGAAGTACAGCCAGAATGGTCCTTAGAAGGCAGGATGATGAAACTTTTGTCCCACACACTTTGGATACATGATCAGAAGGGACCAGTCCCTGAGGACATAGTGGGTTGTGCATTGCGCTGCCAACCACGAGGTCAGTAGTTCAAAATCACCGCCTGCTCTGAGGGAGAAAGACGAGGCTTTCTATTCCTGTCTACAGTTACAGTCTCAGAACCCCACAGAGATGGTCCTCTCCTGTCACGGTAGTCAGAACGGACTCACTGACACTGAGTGAGTCCCCGGAAAAGGACATCCTGCTTGGAAAAGTGGAGGGGGCACTGAAAAGAGAGAAACTCAGTGACACAGATGGACACAGTGGCTGCAGCAGTGGGCTCATGCATACCAATTGTCAGGAGGGTGCAGGGCCAGGCAGGGTTTTATTCTATTTCACATCCAGTGGTGAGGTAGTTAGTTTATTGTGCCAACCTGGCCGATAAACACAGGTGGGGTTCATTGAAGGGCGGAGGGATAAATGGCTCAGTGAGCCTCGCCTTTCTAGTTCTCAGGTCTCTTGCTTTGTGATGGTCGGACCAGGGTGCAGCTGCCTTAGTCAATTCCCTGCTTCAGCTGGCCAGGCTCACTTCCTGTAAGACATCCCCAAGGAGAAGCTGCATGGACCTACCCCGATGCAGCCCTGGGTGTTGGAGCAGCCGCGTGGAGACCCCTGCCAGTGCTGAGATGCTTACACGTTCACTGACTCAGCTTTCCTCCTGCAGTCGGCATCATTGCGTGGGTTTTGTGAGATGGAGGAGGACTTTGTGGATCGGTGTCAGACATATGGGCTAATGTTGGACTTGTGGGCTTGGGCAGCACTGAGTTGGGATGTTTTCTTGATGTGCACTTAACCTTTATATAAAACTCTCTCTTAGACGTGAGTTTCTGTGGAATTGTTCCTCTAAAGTACCCAGACTTTAGAGTACAAGACTCAGTAGAGAGTTTCCAAGGGAGTGAGCTAAGAGAGAGAAGTGTCTCCCGCCTCCAAGGAGGACATCCAGCAGTTCCCAGAATTCTCAGGAGAAAGCCATGGCCTCACAGACGCCTTATTGGCTATGACCCGATTGACAGACTAGACTCCACCCCTTTACTTAATCCTCTTAAGTCCCAAATTGACACCACATTCTGTAACTACCACAGTGAGGCAGCTGGTTAAGCAATGGGCTGATAACTGAGAAGTCAGTGGTTCAAACCCACCAACAGTTCCACAGGAGAAAGATGAGGCTGCTTCTGTAAAGATTCACAGTCTGGGGCGTTCTATGGAGCAGGTCTACTATGTCCTATATGCAGGAGTCCTCAAACTTTTTAAACAGGAGGCCAGTTCACTGTCCCCCAGAGCCGTTGGAGGGCCAGACTATGGTTTTAAAAAAAACTATGAATAAATTCCTATGCACACTGCACGTATCTTATTTTGATGTCAAAAAACAAATGGGGCAAAAGCACCCAGCGGGCTGGGTAAATGTCCTCGGTGGGCCGCATATGGCCCACGGGCTGTAGTTTGAGGACGCCTGTCCTATAGGGTCAGAGGGAGTTGGAATTGACTCAGTGACTATGGGCTTTTATGTCTACTGAGGTCAAGCATAATTTCAGATGCTGGTTGGCCATTGGGGGCCCACGTTTGAAACCTCAGACCCAGTTTTAGGAGTAGAACCCAACTCTCAATTGACCCGGGGTTTCAGAGTAGAACTGCTGTGCCCTTGGCTGTGACCTCTCAGAGACAGATCACCAAGCCTTGTATCCAAGACTCCCCAGAGGAGTTCAGAATGAAGCTTAGCCACTTGCTCCACCCAGAGACTCCAGGAAATTGTAATCTTCTGCTCCTTAAATCTTGGAATCCTCACGCTGGCAAAGCCAGGGACAAATCCTCCTGACCGCCATGTGGCGAGGAAACCCAAGCTACTCCTGCATAGACAGCTCATGGACAGGGGGCCTTGGCTGGTCCAGTCACCTAGGCCGGTGTACCAGTCAACTGAGCGGTTGAGCTACCTTAAACATAGTGGTTGAAGAAGATGGGATGGGGGGAAGCCCATCAATAGCCCAGACCCAAGGCCTTCATCCCATCCATCTCCAGTTGTTCAAGCTGTGCATCTTGGGCCCCGGGACCCTATGGCACAGATACACACCGATCCCACTGTGCCCCAATCCCTGGCCCACAGAAGCAGGAACATATGGTTGTGGTTTTAGGGCCCTGCGTTTCAAAGCATTTTGTGCTGCAGCCGGGGTTCACTAGGATGGTTGATGTTTGCTTCCATTTGCTGCTACCTCTTTCCACTCGGATCTCCTTGGGAGATGAGACTTCTTACTCGTTCACCCTCTGTGTTCCCAGGCCCTGGAAGGAGCCCAGATGGAACTTAAACATGGGGTCAGGTAAGTCTTGGACTGCCTGAGGTCAGTCGTTCAAACCCACCAGCTGCACTGCAGGAACAGGATGAGGCTGTCTGCTCCTGGGAAGGTGACTCCTTCCCTGGAGTCACTCAGAGTAGGAACTGATCTGATGGCGGTAGGTTTCAGTTCCTGAAACATGGCAGCTGATGAAAGTAAAGAGGGAAGAGAGAAAGAACGGACTACACCCTCTCCGCTGGTCCCTGACCACAGAAGGGGGGCCCATGAGACTCCACAGCAAAGGTGAGGCTCCCATGATGTTTCCTGAGCGGCTGCATCATTGTCAAAATGGAGGAGGATTGCACGTTGTCCGTGATTCCCTGCCACAGAGATAAAAAACCCAAGCCAAACTCACTGCGCGGAGACTCTATTAGGACAAGACGGGATAGAATTGTCCCTGTGAGCTTCCGAGGAGGAAACTCTTCATGGGAGTCGAACAGGAGGCGAGGATTACATCTATCTGCTGCTCTCCAGGAAGAATGTGACTACGAATGAATATGTCTTTCAGGAGCGCCTACTGCAATATCGAGGCTAGGGCTCCTTGTCCCATAATGCCCTTCAGCAGAGAGAGGGGGCTTAGGAATACGTTTCCCATAGTGCTTATCAGCAGGAGTTGAACGAAGCTAGGACTCTCTTTCCCTGAGTCCCCTTGGGATTGGAAGCGCTGATGCAATTCCCAGTCAGTCCCTAGGGGGCTCAGTCTGGTTAGTGCGCAACTACTGACTGAAAGGACGGCAGTTCGAACCCGCCCAGAGGGTCCTCAGAAGACAACCCCGGTGACCTGCTTTGGAAGGTCACAGCCTCTACCCTGCACGCCTGGGGTCACCGTGAACCAGAATCGACTCAATGGCAATGGACGACCCCAACAATATCCTCTCCCCATGATGCCCGTAGGGGTTCGATTTCACACCAACTTGATAGTACCTGTGTGGAGGGAGGGGGTCAACCTGTCCATTAGGAGGTAGCCTGGTGATGCCCCCTTGGGGGCGTGGCCTCTTCATGAGAGACGGTGAGAATTGTCTTCCTCTTCCCTAGGACCCGGTCTGCCTCCTGCGACAGCCCCACGTGGGCCACCAACACCCTGCCACGTTCCCACGGATCTTGGGTCTGTGTGGTCTGCACTCACCAGCCTGTGCACTCCCAGCTTCTCGCTTCACGAGCCCGCAGTTAAATGAGTCTGACCAGGGCTCTGGCCTGCCTCGGACCGGTGGACTTGTGTGGGGCCCGGACTGGGACATCTTCTGGATAGACGGTTCTTCCGTATACAGTTATGAATGTCACTGGTTTTGACATTTCTCTAGACCAGCCAGCCTGACACGATGCCCTACACTAGGAGTCCCAGGATAGAAAGGCACTTTCTTTTTTTTTTTTTTTAACATTTTATTAGGGGCTCATACAACTGTTATCCCAATCCATACACACATCAATTGTGTAAAGCGCATTTGTACATCGTTTCTCAAAACATTTTCTCTCCATTTAAACCCCCGACATTAGGTCCTCGTTTTTCCCCTCCCTCCCCGCTCCCCCCTCCCGCATGAGCCCTTGATAGTTTATAAATGGGTATTTTGTCATATCTTGCCCTGTCCGACATCTCCCTTCATCCACTTTTTGGTTGTCTGTCCCCCAGGGAGGAGGTCACACACAGTTCCATGTAATCGGTTCCCTCTTCCCTACCCAGAAAGGCACTTTCTATGGCAGATCGGAAGGCTAAGAATACATTTCCCACAATGCTTTACACCAAGGCTTGTGATCACTGACTCATCCTTTACAGCTCCCAAGTTGTTTTGTTGTTGTTGTTGTTGTTGTTTGGGGATCTTCGACTGCAAGAAGTAAAATCTGTTTCAGCTGACCAGCAAAGGCAGCCACCTTATTGGAAGGGGCAGTTTTCCAGGGGCAGGAAACGGTTTCTACTCTCTCATTCTCACGTCTCTGTCTCACTCTGTGTGACTGTCGGTCCCTGTGGGCTGGCAACTTTTTTTTTTCCTGTCTCTCCGACAGACTCTCTTTCTCTGCTTCACACAGAAGCAGCCCAATGTGCCCACGGAGATGTCAAGTACCGAGTCCCGGTTCTAAGATGTTAGCCACAGAACTCTGAGGGGGGCCGTTTGAGTGGGGCGGCCTCGGGTTTCCACGGCCACAGTTAGGGAAGTTCAAATGAAAGCTACCACACACCGAGTTCTAGGACACACACAGCCACCCGCTGGTCCAGGGGCGCTCAGGGTACGCGGCTCACCCGGAGCTGGGAAAATAGAATCTATGATTGTGATCCTCCTGCGGGGACACTGGGCGAACAAACACACGCACATACACATATGCACACACTCAAGGAAAACTTGCTGCTACCAACTGGCTTCCCACACAGAGTGACCCACTTAACAGCCACCCGGGTCCCGGCGTAGAACTGCTCTCCACAAGGTTTCCAGAAGGCTGCAATCTTACAGAAAGGGGCCTCCAGGCCAGTGGTGAAGCTCGCAGCGGCTAGCTGAAAGTTCGGCGGTTCGAACCCCGCCACCGCTCTGCGGGAGACTTCTGTGGTGGTCTGCTTCGGTAAAGAAGTCCAGACCTGGAAACCCAACAGGGCAGCACTGCTTTGTCCTCTGTTTTGCTGTGGATCAGAATGGATCCGCCAGAAAGCACCCGCATGGTGCGGTTTTTCCAGAAGTTCACGTGCACTGCCAAGGGTCAGCATCCAGGTGATGGTGAGGAACGAGCTGTGTTTTTGTCTTGTAAGAGGAAGCGCACCGGGTCTTTCATCCGAGGCACCGCTGCGGAAATCTTAGGATATCCCCCAGGGCTGCCTCCGTTCTACGGGATTCGTGGGCAGCACGTTGGGCAAGGCTGCGCCAAGGAAACCTTTCCACTCCAAGTGGCTGAAACCAAGGGGACACTGGTGACCTCCAATAAGGAGAGATGGCCGGGCTGACTAATTCAGGGATCCCATCAACTTCTAGAGCAGCAGTTCTCAACCTGTGGGTCAAGACCCCTTTGTGGGTTGAACGACCCTTTCACAGGGGTCACCTAAGACCATTGGACATATTTCCCATGGTCTTAGGACGCGAGACACGGCTCCTCTATCCGTCTCCAGGAGGGTTTGCCCACACGCAGGTACACCCACATGTGAGTACCCGGGTGTGAACACTGTTACCCATGCTACACCATGCTTCAAGACAACATTTCATTGATTTGTCATTAGAAAGAAATATTTCACAATACAGAATGACATGTTGTTTTTATGATGAATCACTATGCTTTAATGATGTTCCATTTGTCACAATGAAAATACATCCTGCCTATCAGATAGTTACATGGCGATCCATCACGGTAGCAAAACGACAGTGATGAAGTAGCAATGAAAATAATTTGATGGTTGGGGGGCTCCCCACCACATGAGGAACTGTATGAAAGGGTTGCAGCATCAGGAAGGTTGAGAACCATTCAGGCTGGTCTGTTTAATGGCTTCAAGGTGACTGCTGTAGCGCCAGACATCACCTGTGCATCCAGAGACAGCCACAGGGGAGCAAAATATATTCAGGACGTACTCCTGGGCCTTCCCCTACCCCCACCCCACCCTGGCCCTCTGGCTATTAGAGAAAGGGAGGAGTCCTGGTGGGATAGTGGTGACCTGTTGGGCTATAACCACAAGGTCAGTGGTTCAGAACCACCCGTCCCTCCATGGAGAAAGATGAGGCTTTCTACTCTGGTGGAGTGATAGTCTTGGAAAATGAGGGCAGTTCCACCCTGTGCTATAGGGTCCCTAGGAGTCGGCACCAGCTCCATGGCAGCCAGTGAGAACTCCTGTGATGATTTGCAGCCTCGGATCTCCGATGTCCTATAGGGCAGCTATGAGTTGGAATTGACTGAGTGAGGAGTTTTTAAGTGGTGGACAGAGTAAGGCTTTTTGGCTGTCTCTGAGCCTCTGCTTGGAGTAGTGGGTCACACCGTGAGCTGCTAACCACAAGGTCAGTGGTTCGAACCCACTCGTTTTTTATCTGATGGCCAAATAAACATGGAAGAAGGTGAGGGTTCTGACCTTCCAAGCTTTCCCCTTCTTCCGGGGCCCTAGGTCTACAGGTCCCCCAAAAGTGGGCTCGGGAGACCCCAGCCCAGGGGGAGAAGAGACTCAAGTCTGGAAGGGTGAGTCGCACCAACGGGGTACAGAAGACATAGAGAGATCAGGGTGACAAGGACATAGAGAAACAGGATCACGAAGACCAGATGGGCAGCGTGGGGAAGCGGGGTCACTATGGCTTCCCTGAGGTCCAGGACTCAGGCTCTCTCCACGTGGGTCACCTTTGGGGATGGACGACCCTCCAGGGGACTGTTTTGTTTTTTTGTTTTTTTCTGGTCAGCAAAGAGGAAGGGGCCTGATCCTCCCACCCCTACGCCTGCCTGAGTCCCAACTAGCCCTGCCCTGGGGGACCCTGGGGCCTTCCCAGCGGGGCCTGTCCCTGGACACCTTACCAGTCGCACTCACCTCTCCCAGGGCACCCTCCCCTGGTCTCCCTCAGGGCTGCCACCCTCACCCCTCTCCTCTCCCGCCCACAACACCGTCCCTTCCCCCCGCCTCCCGCGCGCCCCAGCAACACCCTCACCTTCACACCAGCACCTGGACCCTCCCGCACCCCGGC